AAGATGTTTAGTGGGATTTATAGCTACCTAACACAGTTAGACCCTCTAAGTCCCATGATAGTCAGCACCAAACCAGCGCAGGCATTTTTTTTTTAATGTCTACGTGCAAATCTGGCCCATCTGCTCTGAGAAACTGGCAGTCTGCATGTGCAAAGTTATTGCTCAGGCATTTGTTAGATCAGCCCTTTACTGGTCCCTGCACTAGGAAAACACCTTTACCCTGACATCAGCTGGAGTGGATTATGATTTGGCTACCTACACAGACAGGGCAAGCCCATGTCTGCCTCCCATTGCAGAAACATGCTGAAGGGATGAATCCTCAGGGTCCAGGACATGAAACACTTTTATTCTTTTTGACATCAGTGACTCAGTTGTTGGCTATATAAACACTGCCTCAGACCCGTGCTGCAAAACCCCTGTGGAAGCTCAACAGTGTTGTTGAGATATGTAGATCTCTCCTAATGTAGATCTGTGCTTGTACTTAGTTTTATATTTGCTTGCACTGTTATTTGCACTGGGGGGCAGAGGGGGCTTCTCTTTGTCTCATTAGAGTCTTTCCGTATTTGTTTTGCATTTTAACGAAGTCCAAGATCTGAATGTTATGCATGGATGGCTTCATTACTATTTTTTGCAAGAACAGATTTTAAGAGAAAATGACTGGCAGATACTAAACAAATACTAATAATATAGCCAGATATTAAACAAACAGAGCCCAGAGTGAAGAATATTTTGGTGCCAGAAAAGAGAGATGTTCTTTGAAAATTCCCAGCTCCAAGGCAGCACCTGCTATTTCATCACCGTGCTGGGCTGGTTATTGTGAGGCCTCAGCATTACTGTTATGACAAAGTACCAAAGTGCAAGACCCGTGGAGAAACCCTCCATAGTAAAAGGTGCTCATCATAAGAAATCTGATGAGGATTTTCCTGACCTAGACACCAAGTGCTCCAGATCCCATCTGAAGAAGGCATGAAAAATGGCATGGACAATATGAGGCAAGGGGGAGGATGCTCCCAAAGCTTTTGAAAAATCATATCTTGATGCACAGAGCCCCAAAAGCATGCAGCTCTGCCCTCTGCAGTTAAATCAGCACCCTTTTAAAATCTTCCCACCTTAGAGAGCAGGGAGAATGAGGAAGAGAAAGGATAGGGAAGAGGTTGAGGGAACTATCCCCTAGAGAGTAAATACTATCACCACATTAATGGTCATTCTAGTTTGACGACCGCATCTATTTAGTGGTAGTTATCTAGTGAGGTGACTGGATGTGGAAAGTTTAGGTTAACAAGCATATTCAGCAGAGCACCGAGGAGAAATGTTTGTGCTTTTATTTCCTCAAATGAAAATGTACTCTCTTCTTTGAATGGCATTGTCATAACTCCTCTCTTCAGCCATTTCCACCATCCTAAGCCTCAAGCAGTCACCCCATGTTAAGGAAAAGACCCTAGGAGAGAGAAACAAATTGGTGTACCCAAACACCAATGACAATACCTTGTAGAAGGCTCAGCCACCAAATCTTGGTGATTTAAAAAATACCTCCAAGCCCCTAACTCAGGCTGATAGTCTGGGGGATGACAGAAGGGCACTCGCATGTGGACAAGTGGCATTTGCTGAGCTGAGTGCTGGAAATCAACCTTTTGCTAAAATGGAGGGCATGGATGTCAGGGTAACGTCTCAGAGTAAACCACTTCCCAACCAGCTTTACCAACATTTTCTATGATGAATGCCTAGAACAATCAGCAGAAAAATCTGAGCTCACTCAGTTTTCACTTTTGCTTTGCAGTTTACATTTGAGCTATTATTAAAGCAGATTAGAAACCAATTTACAGTTTTGCATAGTGCATGCATCCTCACGATTCATTTTTCTCTTCTTTGTGATGGCCTCCTCTGTAGACTCAGAAACACAAAGTCTTGAAAGAATATACATAGTTCAGTGAATATTTTTCTTCCATATGGCTGAGTTTATAAAAGTGGACTAATTGAGTCCAATCTGGATTAACAAGTGGATTCAGTTTGCCTTTAAATCAGATACTGATGTGAGATTTTTCAAAAGTGCTCAGTAGTTAAGCCTACTCGACTCACACTGAATTCAAAGATAAAACTCCCATTGAAATTGATGGGAACAGAGTTAAAATCAAGGCCAAACACTTTTGAAAGGAAATGATATGTACCCTTCATTTCTATCTCTGTGTTGCCTTGTTCAGTGGGCCTCTAGTATCCATTTGCAGTCCTTAAGAATTACCACAGCAGAAACAAGAAGTGTCCTGTCTACTTCAGTGGCTGCTGTATGGTTTCAAGGCAGTGCCTAAGAAGTATGAACAAACCTACTGTTTATTATCAGTGTGTAGCTGAGAAGCTCCCAGGTGTAACTTTACATTTTTACTACTTAATGGACTGAAAATAAAATAATAGGGAAACTGGTTGATACATTGCTGCATCAGTTCATTACTAAAGTAATAATGCCCTGTGCCTTTTAATTACAGTAATTAAAATAATCCACAGTGGTAAGAACTGTAGAGGATTATCATATTTGCTTATTAACATGATAGTCCAATTAGTCCTGTGATGAAACAGTGATTACCAGGCTATTAAAAAGTGACATCTCATTATTTTGGAGAAATTTATGAGGATTTCCGTTCAGAGGTTTGTTTACAAATCTCAACTTGCTCCATCAGATCTTGTTAAAAGGAAAGATGCAGAACGGGAAAGAACGCGGTTGCCAAGGACCAGACCTCTTAGACGCTGGTCAGCTCCATGGGCTGGTCTAACTGGGATTTCAAGATGAGTTATCAGAACACATTAAGTGACATGTACTGACTAACACATGCCAAAAATGGAGTGTAGATAAGGCAATGTGGGCTTTAACATATGTTCAGGTGATTGGATGAAGCCTAGACTAACTCAGTCGGTGTTGCCTTTCCCTTTGAGAAGCTTGGCTGTATTTGCTGGATTCCTAATTTCAAGACATTGTCCTCATCAATGCTATGAATCTCTTGAAAAGTCTCCAATTGGCTCAATTCTAGGAGGCTTCACTGAAGAAGTCTGCCGTTGACCCTCTGAACACCCTGTGGCTTTCTTCAGTACCTGATGAGCTGCTTCAGTTCACATAGCAGGGGCACGGAAATGCAACAAAGTCGGCCCTCCTGTGTTTGATTCGGTGCTGCACAAGAAAGTTGACATTCTCCGTTTGTTGGACAAGAAACAGGGAAGGTCAGGGATAGCCACAGTGCTTCCCATTCCCATGTAGATTTGTTATCCTGCCTGAACCCAAAGTACTTCACACTTGCACAGCAGCTTTCATCCAACAGCTTCAAAGCACCCTAAAAACATTTACAGCACCAGTGGGAGCAGATAATCTGTTAACCCTGAACCCCTCTGTTCTGCATGACAATTAGTAACCATGAACAAAAAGGGGTTAGATGTTTTGCACTCCCCCTCTCTGACCACAGAGTGGATCATTAGAGACCTCAAGAGGACAAGAGGACATCAACATGAAAAACATGCCTCTTTCTGGTGGCAAGGACTATCCCAGAGGCCAGCTACAAGCACATGAATGTGCACATCAGAAGATATGGATTCATTTGGCCTTATTTAAAAGGAAGTGATCCCTTGATAAATACATAATGAAAACCTTCCTTAAGCAACCTTAGAAAAGACCAGCAAAAAATAAAAAGATCAATCATTTAAAAGAGGTGGCCTTTAACTAAAAGTCTAACAAAAATTGTACAGGGAAGCCTTGGGGATATAGTACTTTAAAGTGGTTGATTAATGCAAAGTAGAGTGGAAAGGCAGAGAGGCCCACAGCGATTCTGTGCAGTACTGTAATGCTATCAGCTCACGCTAGAATCAGGAGGAGCAAATACTTAGAAGACAGGTCTCAGGAAGGCTGAGGGCCAGATTTTCAACCAAGTACATACAAAAAGGCATGCAGACTTTTTTCAAGCTTGTCCCAGGTGTGGAAATCCCCAGAGCATGCACAATTTGGGTTTTGTTCACATGCTGAACTGTGTGCATATGCAAGCTCTGCCTTGTATAAAACATCAGGGTATTTGCATACCCCTGAGACTCCTCCATTACATGCTGCAAGAAGTAGTAGCAATGATTCAAACACTGCGGCTGGCCTCCAAGACAATACGGACAGACCCCATGCAAGCAGCAGAAATGGAAACTTTCTTAAAATTGACTTCTGCCTTCTCACTACCGTTATCATCAAAAGCTTTTCCAAAGGAAGCCTGGAGTGCCAGCTTGTTGTGCTGAATAGTGCCAGATGTAACATGCAATTTAAGTCGAGTTCAAGCATTAGTAATTACCACAGTATCTAACATCTTTCAGATGTTGCCCACCCCACCCTTTCTCCTGCACAGCTACTCTTTCCTCCTTCATATTCAAGGAAGAATGGCTCTGGGCACCTCCACCAATGAAGACCAGCAGCATTCACTGGGCCCAGCTCTAGATCCACCCAAGCATGCAAGTGTTCATAACTATAAATCACCTTCTGACACAAGTATAATGCTAAAAGGAATATATACCTAGTAGAGGCTGTGGGACTTATTCTGATCCGGTGTAACCTAGCGTAATCCCGTTCCCTTTAGTGAAAGGACCCATCTGCTTTTGTGCAAATAACAAAGAGTCTCTGTATTAATAAAGCTCTTCGGTGTCACATGGTAATACAAAGAATCCTCCGGAGACAAGATTTTCAAGCTTCATACCAATGTTCATTATTACCCTATACAAAAACTATTTTTATATCAGTAGAGTCACATATTGTGGCTCTTACGGTTAAAGAAGCAGAGTCCCTTTAGCCTGTTTCAGACCTAACTTTATCATGCATCACATATTAAGCAGCGAGGGCTGGTATCACATAACAACAAACATGGCTAATCACTCCTACTGCCAATTCCCTACTAGGAAAACACAAAGCTGTTTTCAGTTTCTGAAATGCTGTCTCTTCACTTAGGCAAAACACATGCAGCTTTAACAGCACCAATAACCATTTCTGTCTTTACCTGGGGAAAAGTGTCTTGTGTCTTCTTCTTGTCCATGGCTGTGAAACTTCTGCTTGTTTCCTCAGTATCCCATAAGTTTACACCCAATAGTTTATTCACAAATCACACCTGTGCACTGTTCTCCTTCTCTTGAAATCTTGCAGCCACTCACTTTGGCTTTTATTAAGTGTTATTTCCTTGTATGCTGAGAACTCAAAGAAACAATGATGCTGTGCTGCTTTTTGGCAGACCAGCTCTGTGGAAAAAGAAGAAGTAGAAGTTTTTTGTTTGCTTTCTCTTGACCTATGTATCTTTCAGTTACTTCCTGAAACCTGTGAGTCATGAATGCTAAATTATGATCTATTACTAAAACTGATTCTATCTGAACACAAAGCAGTGCAGCTGCTAAAATAATATGCACCAGCAAGCATTGCACAGTCTCTCAGAGAAGTTACAAAGATTCTTCCCACCCAAGCTAGATTTTCATGGCTATAAGTTTCTGTGCACACTTCCATACCTCTAACGTGTGTGTTCACACTCTGCGGTGAGCATGTTCATAGGAGACAGGTGTAAATGCACCTTCATGTCCCCTGAGGATAGCATTGAAGGAAATCTCTGAATAGGCCAGCAGGTTTTAAAATAGACCTTGGCTCTTTGTCTAGGAGAAGAGCAGTCTAGTGTTTGTAAAAGAAAAAATGGGTTAAGAGTCAAGGATGCCTACTCTCTAATTCAAGCATGGACATTTATCCCCCTGCCTCGGTTTCCCTAACTCGCATCAAGGTTTGTCTAATGTAAGATGCATACAGTACTAGCAACAGGGGTGGAGCCCAGGGCTCACCTTCCCAGAGCAGAGCCCTGCTCTCTCTGTTGCTTCCTGGATTATTTGTTCATGTTAGATTGGGCTGTCATGGTGTAAGAAGCTGAAATAACTCAGTAGCAGGGTCCAGAACCCAGGTCTCCCCCAACCTCCTAGGAAGAGCTCTAACCACTGGGCTACAGAACCACACTCCCTCTTGGTCACTGCCCTTCTAGCCTGGAGAATGGTGTATCCTTGGCTGCCCCATGGGCCAACTTCAGAGGCATGAGGCCAAGCCCACGGTCTGGTGAACAAGATACCACTTGGGAAGTGAGAGGGGGGAGAGACTGCTCAGGGTGAGGCTGATGTAAAATGCAGGTCTTCTAACTCCTGGGCAAATGGTCTGACCACTAGGCTATTAGACAAAAGTTGGGTACCACTACCTCAGCCCCTGTGTTCAGAATAAATGGGAGGTGGGGGCGCTGCACTTGATACTGGGCTCATCTCTGCTGCTGCCACTTAGCTGTTCCAGTTCAGGTTTGCATCTCCCTTCTGAGAGATCTGGATTCCAGCATGATGGAAGTGCTTCCCTTGCAACCTGAGAGGAAGTGGGAGTTCAGACACACTGCTGGTGCTGGCATTC